CTCTTTTTTGAGGGGAACTCCTCCTCCCTGCTCAAACACTGGAGGTCTAGTGGTGCTCTCTAAAATAGTATCCAGACCTTGGCCACAGCAATTGGCCATGGGCCTAGGGTGAAAACTGAGCAAATCAGAATTGGAATTAGAAAAGGCAGCTCTTTCTTTTCTGGCGGTGAAGTTGGGAGGATGAGAGTCTGAGTGTCACTGGTGGCCATGACTTGGACCTCAGAAGAAAGTTGTCTGAGCTGGTGGAGTGAGCATGCAGGGGAAGCAGAGAGGAGCAGTGTCTGAGAGGGAGGTCTGGGCTTTAGAGTCCTGGTTCAGGTTTTCCTGGGGACCAGTTGCTCCCTGCCCTGCCTGAAATGTTGTTATTTGCCAATAAATCTCCTTTTAATTTACATTCCTGATTGCAACTGTTGTTAAATTGGTGGTTCATCTTATAACCAATGGTCTCTTAAGATCTAGGAAATATAGTACTCGTGGTTCCTTGAACACACTGCTCTGTGTGAGCACAGAAGTGTGTGTGCTTTGCTCATCATTGTAACCTGGATGTTCTTTCTGGTTCCTGGCATCAGTTAGGTGCTTAGTACCTATTGGTTGACTAAAATGAATGACTAGAAGCTGTTCCTTCTGCCTGGAACACTCCCCTAACCCTTGGCCACCTGGCATATTTCCACTTGTCCTTGTGGTCTCATCTCAAATGCCTCCTACCTTGTGAGCCTTTCTGAGTCCTCTAGACCAACTCTGGCATCCCCCTAGCCATTTTTAAATCTCTGTATTCCAGAACCTAGCAAAGTAGGTCCTGAATGAATGTTTATTAAATAAACGAATGAATGTAGAGCCACATCTCTCCCCACTCTCCCTCCTACTCCACTCTCCCTCCTCTGTGTGCTGTTTCCACCTTTTCCTTTTGCTCATGCTCTCCTCCACACCGAGAACCCCCCTTTCCTTATTATCACCTGTCTAAATCCTGCTCATCCTCTGAGCGCCATCTGTTTCCTAATTCCTTTAGACAAATATAATTTCTTCTGTTTGACTCCCAGAGAACTTCCCTGGTCTATACCTCATGGGCCTTACCTCACTGCTTTGTGGTAGGTAGATGGGTACTTGTTCTATCCCACCCGTAGGTCCTCTGTCAGTGCCTCTGTGTCAGCCAGACGGGCCACAAGGAACAGAGTCAGGCTCAGGTTCCCATGAGTAGCGGGGGCTTTTGGAAAGCATTGAGAACAAATGAGGACTTACTTCTCAGCTGCCGCCCAGCCAGTCTTCACAGAGCTCTGGAACACCCCATGGGATCCTGGGCAGTTCTGGTTCTGTGAGAGCTCATTCTTTCCCTGGTAGAAGACACCATTTGCTCCTGTGGTTGCCATTATGGTGACTCAGCCACTCCTGACTACTCTTCAGGACCTATGGACCTATTTGCTTCCTTTAACCATATTTATGGCTATCATGTGTTGGGCAGTGTTCTAGAAGCTTAGGATACATCAGTGACTATAAAAGGACAAATGTTCCCGCTCTTATAGAGCTTACATTTGAGCTTAGTCTGCCTTGCTATATCTGCTTGTTCGTGTTTCCTGCTTACTCAAGCCTCTGCTTACTGACCTCTTATGGGAGATTTTGGCTTCAGCCCTCACGGACAACCACTCCGCCCCAGAGAGAGAATGTGATAGTTCATTTGGCGGGTCAGTAGACCAGCTGTTCTTTGGCCAGGCATTTATCTCTGATCCAGTCACCTGTGGTCAGCTTTTCACAGCAGGGGATGTGGGTGTGGAAGATCTTTGGAATTTAGCAGACTCTGGTCAACTCTTAGTGCTTCTTTGCCCATGCATGTAGTCAGGAAAACAGGCACAGTCCTACCTTAAGCTCCAACCATTGCTGGTGTACAGAGAATATTTGTTCAACTGAACCCACCCACCAACACGCCTCTTTTGTGGTTTCTTTAGAAGGCAAATGAATATCTTATCCCAGAGTCTGTGGATCTGGAGTGTGTGAAGTACTGTGTAATATACGATAACAACAGCATCTCCCTGGAGATAATCCTAAAAGGTGATGACAATGACAACTCTGACGATAGTGAAGAAGGTAGGTTTTTATACTAGCCACAGAACAATAGTTTACAGTTGTTGAACACTTTTGCTGCATGCCAAGTGTTCTACCTGGGTCAACCCGTGCAATCTGCAAAACATCCATATGAGGATGGCAATATGAAGAACTGGAAAGAGTCTGAGACTTTTCCTTTCTTGCAAGATGACACATGAGTCTGCCACAAATTTCGTAGATGCTAACCAAAAACGTGAGGCTCCTGGATCAGAGACAAAGGACTTTATTATCAGAGCAATAAAAGTACCCAGAATGTCATCATTTTCCTGCACTGGTACCCCAAATCCCAGTTCTCATAGGGTGACATGAAGAGAACCAAGTACAACTATCCATGGAGTATATTGTATTATAGAAGAAGAGCTCTGAGCTTAGGGGCCTGAATTTGTTATCATTGGCAGAAAGCCTGTCTGTCCTTGGCTCTGGAAGGAGAAACTATGTCTGTCTTCCAAGGCTGTTGGTGATACAAATATCCTTGAAAAGCTAGTGTCTTTGTTCAAAGGACATGTAGAGATGTGAGAGACTGTGGAGAATTATTTTCTAATATATAACAGTCCCACTTTATAGATAGGAAAATTGGGGCCCAGAAAGGCAAAGTAACTTGCCTGAGGTCCCATACCTAGTGAATTAGTTATCTGTTGCTATATAGCAAATTACCCCCAAACTCAGTAGCTTAGTATAACAAGCATTAATTATCTCATAGATATTATGGGTCCAGAATTCAGGAGCAGCATAGCTGGAAGATTCTGGTATAGATTCTGGTATAGAATCTGAGGTTGTAGTCAAGATGCCAGTCAGGGCTGCTGTCATCTAAAAGTCTGACTGGGCCAGGATGATCTGCATTTGAGATGACTTACTCACATGGCTATAGCCAGGAGACCTCAGTTTCATTCTGGTTGTTGGCAGGAGATCTCAGTTTTTGCCGCATAGATCTCCCCATAGGACTGCTTTCACGGCCTCACGACATGGCAGCTGCTTTCCCCAGACCCAGTGATACAAGAGAGAGGGAGAGAAAGGGGAAGCCACATGCCCTTTATGACCCAGTTTTAGAGCTTATACACAGTCACTTCTATTCATTAGAAGGAAATCACTGAGTATAGTCTTCCCTCAAGGGGAGAGCAATTAGACTCAGCCTTTTAAAGAAAGGCATTTGAAAGAATCTGTGGACTTTTTAAAAACCACCATATCTAGTAAGTGGTAAGGCCTGGATTCACACTCAGGCAGTTTGGCTCTGTTTAATCTTCTAAGGCCTGAGTAATGATGTTAAAGAACAGTGCAAAGTCACTCCAGCCCCAAGCTGGAGCATTAAAATGTTGTTGGTTCTAATCTGCTTTACTGAGGCTCTGGAGCGTTCTCCATTCAGCCCCTGCTTTGGGTTGATCACCAGTGGCCATTGGCACAAGGGCCTCTGCTGTTTGTGGCTCAGTCACTAATAATATGTAGGTGGGTCCATGGGCTAGGTCATTCACAGCAGCAGTCACTGGGTGGCACTAGGCTTCCACCTTTAAGAAAACCAGTCCTCCCAAGAGGTCCTTAGCCAGGAAATTATCCCCTCTTCCCCAAGCTCATTGTGCTGGGCTCTGGCCTACAATCCCAAGAGACTGGACCCTGAAACCCTAGGAAACAGTGGTCAATAAAGATAACCCCCTCTATGTTCTATAAGTGATTTCACCGTCCCGTGGAGTCCCTGTTCTCACTAGGTAGGAAACCACAATCACGAAACAACAATACAACAAAACGAAAACCACACAGGTACATGCCTTGCCCTCTCAAGGCACCTTTTCTCCTTTAACATGGCATCATCCAGGTAAATACAGTCTTTTGGATAAAAGACCATTTCTCACCACTACCTTCTCCTTTCCACTGGTAAGTACCCACCTCCCTGACCATCAAGGCAATCTAGGCACGGGGGGAGACTTTATTACATCCTAAAAGTGGGCATCAGTTTCTGTATAGTCCTTTCCTGCTAGCTTCTGGATGAGGCGCAGCTCAGCCTATATGGCCTTTGGCCATGGGCCTCTGTTCTTGCTATGCCTGTGGCCAAAATGTCCATGTCTAGTGTAAGTCATGAGTGACTCCCTCCCCCTAGCCATGCACGGCGTTGGTTCCTAGGGGACTCTGCCCTGTGCCCTCCTATCCAGGCTGCCCCTGGCCTGCTCTATGTGCTCCTGATCCCTGGGCCTGCTATGGCTTCCCTTGTTTCTAGCATTAGGTTAACCACACCCTACGTCCGCTGTGGGGGGTTTCAGAATCCTAGTGGGAAATAGGGCACAAGTTGTTTTTAGTCCCTTCCCCGTCTTCCCCCAGCTGGTGTGTTTCTACCACCTCAGCTGGGTGTCTTCTTAGGAGCCCAGGAAGTGTCTTCCCTTGTCTTGGCCTCTGGGACCCTCTCTCCAAGCTCCTTTCAGCATGCACAGGGCAGCCTCTTCTTGTATGAACGACATTTCCCTTATGTTAAATCATCCTTCTTGGCAACACATGGATATAGACCCATACACTGGGCTTGTGATCGGGTGCCAGTAGAGTTCTCAGGGCCAGGATACCAACTGTGAAGGGAAGCTTTGAGAATTTTGGAATTCCTTTTATTCTCCCTCAACAAAGCCTGACTTTTAAGACAATTGTCTGGCTTTGGACCTCATAGAATTTAACTTGAAGCTCAAGCTGAGCCCTGACTCCTTTGTACCAGGTGGTTGCCCCCACCCCCTGTAGCAGTGAGCACCCCAGTTCAAAGTATGGGAAACCTCATGTCAACAGAGAATCCAAGATTAATGGGAATAAAAATGAACAAATTTAATGTTTCAAAAATATTAACCCATTGCATCCTTGACTGAATAACCTGGGCCCTGGGATGTTCTCATGACTTTTTGTCCAAATCTCTAATCGTCCCCTGGAAACTGGCCTTCTTCCAGCTTTGACCCCATTACCCTTGCTTGCGAATAAGCCTCCAGTGGGTCATTTGACATTGGCAGGGAAGCAGCTGTCTGGTTTAAAGCCAGTAGTACTGTGGCCTGGGACTCCCTCCCTGACTCCCTTGGGTCCTCTGACCTTCCCAGTCATTACTCAGTCTGGTGCTCAAGAGGGAGATGGGGCTGGGAGACCCTGGGAGACCCAGAGTTCTCTGGCTTCTAAGCCAGGCCCTTGGGGAAGGTGGGCTTTGAATCCTGTCTCGCCAACTACAAGTTCTCTTCTGGCCTAGCTATTGTCTGCAGCCTCTTCTTCCAAATAGTTTCTCCAGATAGGTCTCAGGCTATTTATGTCCTCAGCAGCCCCTGCTGGAATTGGCAACATCTCTTTCTAGATAAAGGTTCACGATAGGTATTAGAGTCCATGCCCTTCCCTTTGTCCTTTTAGCTAGCTTTCCAGAGTCTGCTGCACAGTATTTCTCTTTAAGGGTCAGTTCCTGGCCTCAGAATATCTTGGCTTAGCCTTAATTTGCAAACTTCCTATCACATATATCTAATTTGCATACAGTCTAATAGTGATTCTACAGATCAGTGAAGTCATTTTAGATTAAATTGATGTCAAAACCATAATGAGATATTACTTCACATCCCCTAGGATGGCCATAATTAAAAAGACAGATAGTAACAAGTGTTGATGAGGATGTAGAGATGTTGGAACACTAATACACTGTTGGGTAAAATGTACACTGGTACAGTTGCTGTGGAAAATGGTTGGCACTTTCCTCAAAGGTTAATATGGTCCAGCACTTTCACTTCTAGATATGTACCCAAGAGAAGTAGAAACATGCATAAAAAACCTTGCCAAAGGGTGGAAACAACCCCAATGTCCACCAACAAATGAAAGAAAAACAAAAGGTGGTAGAGCCACACAATAGAATGTTATTCGGCCATGAAAAGGAATGGAGTGCTGACACACGCTACAACATAGATGAACTTTGAAAACATTATGCTAAGTAAGAAGCCAGACACAAAATTACCACATAATGTGTGATTCTATTTATATGAAATGTACAGAATAGGTAAATCCATAGAAATTCGATTAGTGGTTGCCTCGGGCTGGGCGTTTGTTGTGGGGAAATGAGGAGTGAAACCCTCTACATGGTACAGGGTTTCTTTTTGGGGTGATGAAAATGTTCTAAAATTGATTGCGGTGATTGTTACACAACTCTGTGACTATACTAAAAAACATTGAATTATGTACTATAAATAGGTGAATTGTGTGGTATACAGCATGTGGCATACAATAGTCTGTGTGTGTGTGTGTATACATATAGAAAAACAAAGATTAACTTTCTTGGAGGTAAGTTGCTTTTTAAATTTTAATTGTAACAGTAATCTTTATATTTGCTCCAGCTTCCTAGATAAATGCTTTTTAGAATAGAGTAGATGTCCACTGGAGCTTTAAACAAATGGTGAACATACAGGGGACATTTATTTCTTTGATCTCCACTCCTAGAACTGGTGTTTGGAGCTGCTGTTGAGTGTGGCAGAGCCATGTCCCATCTCACCCGCCACCCCATTCATATCTTGAAAGGGGGCTATGAGCGCTTCTCAGCTATGTACCACTTCTTCCGGACACAGAAAATCATCTGGATGCCACAGGTAAGGCAGGGTGCTTGAGCACAGGCAGGCTTGGATGGAGCATGGCCTTCCCCTGAGGACCATGGGATGGGGTGCAGAGTATGACAAAGAGGAGAAGGAGACAGACAACATGGGAAAACAATGGAAGAAATTTTGAAGACTGGGCTTGAGAAATGAACTTGGGGTAGCCAGGAGGTCCTAGATGATGAATTTATAATCATCAGATTTGTGTGGAAGCCAGCATGGCATTTAAGAGATGGGGCCCGTTCAGAAGGCAGGGTCCCAGGAGAGTTCTGGATGGTAGACTGTAGTCAAAGTCAGGCAGGGAGCAGGGAGGGGTGTCATGATTTGAGGTCACTCTTAGATGTTCGAATCCAGAGGATACAAAAAGAGTGAGAAAGCAGTCCCTGCCTATATGGAGTTCTTGTCTAGTAGGGGAGACAAGGGGTGTGGCCAAGGGACGCAGCAGGTGTATGGAGCCCAGAGAAGAGGCATTTCCTTCCAAACCTGAAGGAGGAGGAGCTTGTGGGAAAGAGAGGTGAAATAAGCATTGGGTGGCAACAATTGACAGACAGGGACCGGTCCCCGGGGTGCATTATGTAATATCTGGTTTATTGAAGAGTCTGACTGCAATGGAATGTAAACATGCACAGGTTTCATTTTTTCCAATCATTGCCTTCAATTGTGCTCTCATTCTTGTCCTTAGAAACATCTTGGACAGATTCCATGTTTTCTGGCCACTTTTGGTTATGAAAAATTTCAGTCTAGTCATGTAAAATGATTGGGGAAATGTGCATATTAACTGATAGTAAGGAAATATTATATTTCTTTAGGTTGTGATGACATTATGGTTATGCTTTTAAAAATATGAGTCCGTATCTTTTAGAGATACATAATATTTATGGATAAAATAATGTGATATCTGGAATTTCCTTCAAAATAATCTGGAGTGGTTTAGAAAGTCAGTATAGATGACGCAAAATTAGCCATTAGTTGATAACATTTACAGAGGGGTGATAGATCCAGGGGTTTTTACACTATTCTCTCTATTTTTGTGTATTTTTTGATAAAAAATTTAAAAGGGAATAAGAACAATTAGTCTGATACAAGCCAGTCTAGTTTAACATTCTAAGCTCAAACCATATCTCATTTCTTTCCATCCCCCAGAGCTGAGTAGCCTTCAGTTTCCTGGGGGCTGGGAGTGGTGAGGGGTGTGGGCTGGCTTCAATGACACCTCCTCTGTTCCCCTCTTTGGGGCTTGGCCCCTCTGGTGCTGAGGGTCCAGAATGGAGCCTGTCTTCTGTGACTGGCCACTGTCAGTGGTGGGGAAATGCCTTCTCACTCTGGCCCAGCCTGTTTCTGTGTGCTGCTGATGGCCTTTGCTGCTCGTTTCCTTGGGGTTCTATTCAGAGGCTCCATCTGTTAACGAGGATCTTTCAGAGAGTTACCCAAGAATTTCTGCCAGGAGTACTCCAATTCTCTTTCCTTCTCTTGGAAGCCCATGAGTCCCCTACCACATCTATACTCCTTCACTTGAATCCTGGAATGAGCCACAAGGGAGTATGATGATGGGGAAAGAGGCCCAGCCCAGGCAGACCTCACTGCAGCCCCTCCTTGCCTTGCTGACTTGGCAGCTCTAATCAGCCTATGTGAAAAGGTGGAGACCCAAGTCTGAGGTCGTACCTGTTCCCAAATGCAGGGTATTAATGTCAAGATCTCCAAAGGACTACCTCCTCTCCTTCCACTGAAGTAACCACATTATGATTTTCAGCTCAACAGTCGTATACCCAATCTCCTCAACCTGCAGACACCCCTCCCTGCTGCTAGAGAAGCACTCCTTACTGGCTCTGCAGTGCTCAAAGGGAGTATTTCTTTATAAACATCATACTGCTGATAACTCATTGCCCCTGCCTTTTAAAGCTTTGTTAAGGTATAATTGATGTAGGAATAACTGTACATATTTAAAATGTATAATTTGGTCAGTTTTGACATGTGTATACATCTATGAACTTGCCCTCACCCCTAGTCTTCTTATGTAGATTGGGAAGAGGGGTATGATGGTGGCTGATGGTATCTATCACGGCCTGATAGATTGGGTGAGTGAGTTTTACCCTAATTATTTGTGGCCCTCTAGAATGTAGGCGCCCACTATTTCCCTCTTCCTGCTTTGTTTCTAATTCAGGAGCAAGAGTGAAAGCCATACTCCCTTTCTGTTATTGTTCTGATACATTACAAAGCAGGGGAATTCTTACTGCTCCTTTGAGAGGAAATGGAGGCATAGAATTTGGACTCTGAAACTGCCCCTCTGCCTTAGACAGAGTGACTTATAATTTCCTGTTTTATAGATGGCATCCCTTAAATAAGATTTCACCTTGAGCAAAGGGTTCTGTGACTAAAAAAAGTGTGATGTCCACACTAGAGAGAGATGATGGTGAGCCACTGAATAGTTTTAGGTTGAGGGGTGGCATGGTCAGATTTCACTTAGAAAGACCTACTCTGATTGCAGTGCAGAGAGCAGATCAATGGGGACAGAATGGATTTGAGGAGACCTGCTAGGAGGTAGGGATGGAGAGGAGACGATGGATTCAAGAAATACTTAGGAAGCAGCATTGACTAATATACAGGTGGTGGGGTACAGGAAAGAGAGAAGTCTAGAATAATGTTTTGGTTTAGGTGTGGGTGACAGGTGGCCCATGGTGTGGCTCATTGAGGTGGTGGAAATAGGAGGAGGAGGCAGTGTCAGAAGTAGGGGGAGTCAGTGGGCTTGGTTTAGACGCCTGTTTCTTTTTCAGATACCTGTTCTTTTACGTTTGTCGATGTGGTGTCATCTAGAGTTAATGTGGGCTTGCTCTTTACAGCGAAGCATATTTTCATACATGCCATACCCTCTTTCTCTGCAGCTGACACAATCACAGGAAATTCCTTGTGATTGTGGTTTGTAGGCAATAGGAAGAAAGTTGATGGATTTGTGATGGGTGTTTAATGAGATTTTCCAAATGAAACTGGGAGAATTTCCTTTGGCTCCAGCAAGCTGAGGTTCTTGGGTGAGGTCAGCCTGAGCTCCAGGGATGCTTTGGGTCACATCTCAAGTAGCTGGTCTGCCTGCAAATAGAAGAGTCATGAGTCTCTTTTGCAAACTTGAGGATTGGCTCAGCTTGGTGTCTGTTCTTTAATAGAGGCTTTTGAGGCTGACGACAACTTGGGAAGAATGTGGGCTTAAAGCAGGTTCACTGGGATGGGAGATGTACTGAGGCCAGAGGCCTGTGATGGACTGAAGTGAATGGCGGACAGCCTGAAGTACTTAAGATGTTATTTCTGAGTCAGACTTGGAGCCAGAGGAGTTTTTAGAATGCAGTTTGACTTTGAAATTACATAGGTCAGCATTTCCAATGAAATACTGATGGAAAAAAAAAAATATGACCTAAACAGACTATATTAGAAATGTCAATTTATACAACGTTAGTGGATTTTTTTTGAGGTGTTGCCTAGACTTTATCTTACTAAATATCACAAGTAGATTTTTAATTCATGCCAGTAATAACTATGTAGCCACTGTTTTATTACAAATATCTGAGCTACAAGAGGTCAGCCTAAGGAACCATTAGGAAGATTTTCACCAGCTCTCAGTTCCCTGGAGGCACACTTTGGCATGCTTTTCTGGCTCTTTTCAAACTTCTTTATAAAATTAGTCTTATTATTTGATGATAACTTTTTCTAACCACCTGCTTGGTGCTCTAATAATCTTTCCTTGGAACAATCAGATTTTATGATTTCCCTCAGCTTTATTGATATATGATAAACAGGTAATACTGTATAAGTTTAAGGTGTACAACATGATGATCTGATACGTGTACATGTTGTGAAATGATTATAATAATAAGGTCAATACACCATCACCTCACAAAATTACCTCTTTTTGTGTGTGGTGAGAACATTTAAGATCTACTCTCATCAATTTTCAAGTATATTAATACAGTATTGTTAACTGTAGTCACCATGCAGTCTGAAAATTTATACCCTTTGACCAGCATCTCCCCATTCCCTCTTTTCTTCCAGCGCCTGGCAACTACCACTCTACTCCGTTTCTATGAGTTTGGCATTTTTAGTGTCCACATATAAGTGAGAGCATGCAATATTTATCTTTCTCCGTCTGGCTCATTTCATTTAGCAAAATGCCCTCAAGGTCCATCCATGTTGCCACAAATGACAGGATTTCCTTCTTTTTTTATGGCTGAATAATATTCCACTGTATGTATGTTTATATGTGTGCTGCATTTTATTTATCAACTTATCTACTGATGAACACTTAGGTTGTTCCCAACTCTTGGCTATAGTGAATAATACTTCAGTGAGTAAGGGGGTGCAGGTACCTCTTTGAGATAATGATTTTGTTTCCGTTGGATAAATACCCAGAAGTGGGATTACTGGATCATATGGTATGGTAGTTCCATTAATAATTTTTAGGAATCTCCATACTGTTTTCCATGGTGGCTGTAGTTAGTGGATTTCTTTATTGCCAGACTTCTTTGAGCTTTTGTCCATTGTGAGTTTCTCCGAGAGGGATATCACAGTTACTATTTCCCATATGTTCTTGGTTCTCCGAAACCTTTTTTCACAGTGTGTTGTGAGGGACCAGTGCTTCTTAGAACACACTTTGGGAAATGTAAGGAATAATGCTTCTCTTTGTTTCTTTGTTTTTCAAAGAAACCAGAAATTTTCTTATTACCACTTTGGACCTGGAACTCAGTAAGCTTCCATTAAAGTGGTATCCTGTTCTCCCTACCTCTCTATCAGAACTTCATCAGAATTCATTTCCTGATAGCTCTTGTGAGTAGTTTTATTGTGTGTGTGTGTGTGTGTGTTTTTTTAAGGTATTTAAATTCTGGTTGCCTCCAAATGTAATAAAAGGGCTGTTCTTCGCCACCCTTGCCCTCCTCCAACTGGACATACCCTGGGTTTTTGCAGTTGTTGGCCATGGGATATTAGACTCCAATTCTAGTGCACCTGGCCAAATGCAAACAGGTGCTATGGAGGGAAGTGGGATGTCGGTGTTCAGCATGCTATACCATGGTGTTACTACCAGCTCTCTAACTCCTTGTGCAAGTTGTTACTTGCCAATATCTTTGAATGCCCAGATCGCAATACCATTCACTGTCTTAGATTATTTTTCTAAGCTTGTTTGCTGAGCCACATTACAAGAGAGAGAAAAAAATGAAAACAGCTTCTTTCCTGGAAAGTATTTATAGGAGCCTTTCATTTTCTCCACCTCAGGAACTGGATCAATTTCAGCCATACCCTATTGAAATAGTGCCAGGAAAGATCTACCTGGGCGATTTCAGGCAAGCCTGTGACCCTAAAATTCAGAAGGATTTGAAAATCAAAGCACATGTCAATGTCTCTATGGAGACAGGGCCATTGTAAGTAGAAATACTATTGATTTTTATTTTTAAGATTAAGTATCATTTGTTTATACAAGATTCCTAGTGCCATGCATTTATAGAATTGAAAGGTCTCTTAGAAGTCAACACACACTTATTTTCATCTGTTCCTGGCCTACAGTTTGTTTCTTGCCCTTTAAATCTCACCAAAAGTAATACTTTCCTGGTATTTAATATTATGGTAAAAATTATCCTATTCTACCCTGCTTTGCCTATCTCAGGCCCTCTGAGAAATGACCCTGTCTTAGTCCATTCAGGCTGCTATAACAAGTATCATAGACTGGTGGCTTATAAACAACAGAACTTTTTCTTTTCATGGTGTGGAGGCTGGGAAATTCAAGATCATGATACCAGTGGATTTGGTGTCCTATGAGAGCCCGCTTTCTGGCTCATAGACAGCCATATTTTCACATGGTGGAAGGGGCAAGGAGGCTCTCTGGGGTCTTGTTAATAAGGGCACTAATCCCATTTATGAGACTCCATCCTCACAACTAGATTTATAGTCCCACCATAAACAAACAAACAAACAAAAAAACCAGAAAACGTCTAAAATAAAAATTTTCAGACAATGGCCAACAGACAGTACAGGACAGTGATTCCTGAGAGAAGGGGGAAAAAAAAACAAACAAAAAAACAAGATGAGCTTGCAAGCCACAGTAAAGGAAAGGAGTCAAAAGAGATCCTGTCATTTTTCCAAGTTGTGAGTACAGAGTCAAAAATCCAGAGAGGTCAGGTTGGCTGGAATTTGCAGGAAAGATCTGCATGGAGAATAGAGAGCTGAATATAAAGAAAGAGTTCTGGACAGCTGCAGACAGTCTCCCTGTTTCTTCAGCTGAGTACTTATAAGCATATGCATGTGAGGAAACTTAAGACTGAGAGAAAAACAAGTAGAAATGAATAGACAGTAAAATCCCCAGAGACTATGTGGTGCCAGGAGTAGTTTGTGTTTCAAGTTAGAGTAGACAGAACTCATAATATATAGGGCATCAAATAAAATACTCAGAAAAGTCTCAGTAGTGAGGAAAATCTAGCCCTAGATTAGGGATTAAAAATACCATGGATTGGAATTAACAGCAGGTTAGACACCACAGAAGAAAATAATTTTTAAGACATAGCAATAGAAAGTATCCAAAATGAAACATAGGGAAGAAAAAGATTTACCACCCCCCTCCGAAAAAAAAAAAAAACCCAAAAAACAAAAAACAAAAAAAAAAACCAGAATTTGAATGAGATTGAGACAGTTTCACATGGAATTTCCAAAGGAAAGGAAAGTGGGGAAACAGAAAACATATTTGAAAAAATAACGGCCAATTTCCAAATTTTTAAAAAAAACTATGAATTCACAGATCCAAGAATCTCAACAGAACGCAAGCATGAGAAACATGAAGAAAACCACAGCAAGTCACATCATATCAAATTGCTTAATATCAGTAGAAAAGAGAAAATCTTGAAAGTAGCCGCAGAAAAAAAGATGTATTACATACCAAGGAACAAAGGATAATAATGGACCTCATATTAGAAACAATGAAATTGAAAAAATTGTAAATTATCGAAGGAAAAAAACCTGTCAACCTAGAAATATAACCAATGAAAATGTCTTTTAAACGTGAAGGGAAAATACTTTTTCAGGCATACAAAAGTTGAAAAAAATTCATCACCAAGAGATGTGCACTACAAAAAATATTAAAGGAAGTCTTTCAGGCAAAAGGAAAACAATACTAGATGGAAATCTGAATCTATACAAAAAGAATCAAAATCACCAGAAATGATAATTATGTAAAATATGTTCCCTTTGTTTTAAATCTCTTCAAACATAATTGTTTAAAGAAAAAATAATAACAATGTATTTTAGAATTATAACATATGTAGTAGTAATATATATGCCCACAATTTACTAAGGCAGGAAGAGGAAAAATAGAAGTATACATTTGTAAGGTTCTTAACTCTGTTTACATGAAGTGGTATAATGTTACTTAAAGGAAGACCATAATAAGTGTATTCAATAAACTCTAAAGCAACCACTAAAAGATAGAATAAAACAAAAATAAATCAAAGAGATATAATTAATAAGACAACAAGACAGATATAATAGAATTATATAAAAATTTAATCCAAAGGAAGGCAGAAAAATGGGAACAGGAACAAAGAAGAAATGGGATCAATAGAAAACAAATAGCAAGATGATAGACTCACACTCAATCATATCACTAATCAAATATAATCACTAATCATATCACTAAGCAAATGGTCTAAATATTCCAATTAAAAAACAGAGTTTGTAGGCTGTCTATAAGGAATGAACTTTAAATTTATAGACAAAGATAAGTTAATACTAAATGGATAGAAAAAGATATTCCAGGCTAAGACTAACTTAAAAAAAGGAACTTCTGAGTGGCTATATTATTACTGGATAAATTGGACTTCACAGAAAAGAATATTACCAGTGATAAAGAGGGTCATTTCATTATGGGAAAGTGGTCAGTTAATCCAGATTTTAGATTCCAGAGGACATAATAGTGTTAAACATGTTTGCAGCTAATAAAGAAGCTTAAAACACATGAAGGAAATCTGATGGAGAACTAGGGAAGTCCACAGAAATTTCAACATCTCTCTCAATAGACAGAAAGTGGGTTATAATTTCAACTAGAACATTATCATCCAATTTTACCTAACTGATATTTATATGGCACTCCACCTAAAAACAGAAATATGTTCTTCTAGTCTTTGAATGTGTCCTACAATAAACATTTTTTTTTTCAAAAGGACATGAAATATTTTTGCCAAGATAGACTATTCTGGGCATTAAAACAAGTATCAATACACCTAAAAGATTCAAGTTATAAAACTTACGTTCTCCAACTATAATAGAATTAAATTAGAAACGGGTAACAAGATATCTGAGGAAAATCCCAAATGTTTAGAAACTAAATAATACACTTCTAGATAGCCTATGGGTAAAAAAAGAAATCAAAAGGGAAATTAGAAAATGTTCTGAACTGAATGAAAATGAAAACACTGTATATTAAAATTTACGGATGCAGCGAAAGCCGTGCATAGAGGGAAATTATAGCCTAAATGCCTGTATTAGAAAAGAAGTCTCAAATCAAATCAAGTTCCTATACTTCCACCTTAAAAATTAGAAAAAGTAAGCAGAAAGAAGGAAATGATAAAGATAACAGTAGAAATAAATGAAATAGAACACAAAACAATTGAGAAAATCAGTGAACAGTACTGGTTCTCTGTAAAGATCAATGCAATTGACAAACCTCTACCAAACTGATCAGAAAAGAAGAGATAGGAGACAAAAATTACCAATATTAGATATAAAAGAAGGAACATTATCATTATAGGGCCTATGGATATTAAAAAGCATTCTCTGGGCATTTATTCCACAGAAGTGAAAACTTATGTTCACACAAAAACCTGTACACAGATGTTTTCAGCAGCTGTTTAATTGGTGAATGGTTATAAAAACTATGGTATGTATATACCATGGAATGCTACTCAACAGTAAAAGCTATGAACTATTGATGCATGCAACAACTTGGATAAGTCTCCAGGGAATTAATGCTGAGCAGGGAAAAAAAAGGCCAATTCCAAAAGGTTACATACTATAGAATTCCATTTATATAGCATTTTTGATATGACAGAATTTTAGAAATAGAGGACAGATTAGTGATAACCAGGGGTTAGGGAAGGGGGCGGTCAAGCGAGGGAGGTGTGGTTATAGAAGGGCAACACAAGGGATCCTTGGTGTTAGAACTGTTCGGTATCTTGACTGGGGGTGAATACGTGAACCTACTCAGGTGGCAAATTTGTATAGAATTTACTACACGCACACACACAAATGTAAGGAAAATCAGAGAAATCTGAATAAGACTGATAGATTGTATCAGTGTCAGTGTCCTGGTTGTGCTTTTATACTATAGTTTTACAAATGTTATCATTGGGTAAACTGAGCATAGTGTACAAGAGATCTCTCTATATTATTTCTTACAAATTCATGTGAATCTACAATGATATCAATAAAATTTTAATTAAAATAAATAAAAGAATGATTAAGAAGTATTTTGAGTAACTTTATGCTGATACATTTGAAAATTTAGATTAAATGAACAAATTCCTCAAAAGACTCAACTACCAAAGCTCGCTTAGTAAGAAATAATCAGAATAGCCCTATATTAAAGAATTGAATTCATAGTTAAAAACTGTTAAAAGTCTAGGTCTATATATGGCTTTACTGGTAAATTCTGTTCAACATTTAAGGAAAAAATAATACCCATTCTACACAGACTCTTCCAGAAAATAAAAGAGGAGGGAATCCTTGCCAATTCGTTTATGAGACCATCATTACTCTGATACCTAAACCTGACAAAGACTTTATAAGAAAGGAAAACTGTAGACCAATATCATCATGAACTAAGTCCAAAAATCCTTAACGAAATTTTAGCAAATTGGATCCAAAAATATATATAAAAAGGATAATATCTCATGACCAAATATATTTGTTCCAGGAAGGCAAGATTGGTTTAACCTATTTCCCATTCAGAAAAAAAATGTGCAGCACGCTACCAGCACTAATTCTATTTATATAAACATGCTCTTAAGGCTGAAGCAAATCTGACTGGTTTTCAATGTGAAAATAAAATATAAAAACTGTTATTGGAGTTATTTCTAAACAGAACTTGTCTCTAATCCTAATGTAACAGAATTATGTATGTAAATCGGATTCATCAAATGAATCTTCGGCCAATGGCTGTTTCAGAATGCTGTTAACATCACACATAGGAATGCTACATTTTCCAAGAGTTGACATTTTCAGCTATTGAGAATTAATATATTTTATAAATGGAAATACCACTACTAAAACACAGAATGCTATAAATAGAATGTTGTCATTTGTTTCCAAAGACTATCAATATACTAGAGCAATACAAAAATAATAATAAAAAGTGAGATATTTCATGGCAGTCTTTGGGGGTAAGGTTAGGACTATAATCTGCAAGTTATCTCGGGGCAAATGCTGCAGCCACAAGGGCTGCTGGCAAGTATTCTCAGGGCAAATAGGCAATGGGTTAAAATTAGAAAATCAACATAATTCGTTATATTAACAGACTAGAAAAGAAAACTTAAATTACTTTCAGAAGAGATACAGAAAAATGGCACCCTGTAGTTGCTAAATATGCATTTTTAAAAAAGCTTACATTTACATTTATAAAAATCTATAGTAAAATGGTCCATAAAGCAAGATCCAGTGAATTTCAGGGGATTAAAATCATATACAGTTGGTTTTTAACCACTATGAAATTAATATAGAAAGCAATAATTTAAAAATATAACTAGAGCATTCTTAGAAATTTAAAAATAAGTTTCTAAATAGCCCATGAATCAAAGAAGAACTCACAATGGAAATTATGAAATCTTTTCAACTACGTGATAAAAAACATATCAAAACTGTGGAATGTAGCTGAGCTGTGTTTAGAGGGAAATTTATAGCCTTAAATGCATTTATTAAAAAAAAGAAAATCTAAAAATCTACTAGTTAAGCATTCATCTCAAGAAATTCCCAAAGGAACAGCAAACTAAACCCAAATAAAGAAGAAGGAAGGAATAATAAAAGCAGATTACAAAATAGGGAGGGTGAAGAAAATCAAAATACTTTTTAAATATATATATGTATGTATGTATTTGATCAACTCGGCAAAAAAAGAGAAGGCATGAACAGTCATTTGTAAAAGGAGACTCTACATCTCTTACAGATATCAAAAAGGTCTTAAGAGGATCAAAACTTTATTGTGATAAATATGAAAATTTAGACGAAATGAATATATTTTTTAAAAATGTAATCTATCAACACTGACATCAGACAAAATAGAAAAATTGATTAATATCAATAACTAATAAGCAAATTTCTCATAGAGAAAAATCCAGGTCTAGATAGTTTCAAAATGAATTTTACCTAATATTTAAGGAGAAAATAAAGCCAATATTACATTTTTTAAAGAATAAAGAAGAGGAATAATTTTCAACTTGTTTTATGAGACCAGCATAACTCTGATTTCATAACCTGACAAAGACATTATAGGAAAATTATACACTAATTTTCTTCACAAATGTAGATGTAAAAAAACCTAAAGAAAAATATTAGTACATTGAATATAGAGTTATATGAAAAGGATAATACATCATGACCAAACTGGGTTTATTTCAAGAATACAAGGTTGTTTTAAGCATCTATAAAATCAATTCATGTAATTTACCATATCAATAACATAGAGGAAGAATCAGGATTATTTCAATAGATGCAGTGAAAGCATTTGATAATATTCACTATACATTCATGATTTTTTAAAAAACCCTCTTAGCAAACTGCAAATAGAAGAGAACTTCTTTGATGTAATTTAAAAAAAACTACAAAAATCTCTGCAGCAAACATCACACGTAATGGTGAAATGTTGAAAGTTTTCCCTCAGAGTCACAGAACAAGATAAAGATGCCACTGACACCTACTTAACATTGTACTTGAGGTCCTAGTTGGTGAAATATGGCAAGAAAAAGAAAGAAAATAGGAATTAAAAGGGGAAAAAAACTTTGATTATTTACAGACAACATAATTGTATACACAGAAAAGCCAAAACAACCTGCAAATAAGTTATTAGACTTAAATGAGGTTGCTTGGTACAAGGTCAGTATATAAATATGAACTGTTTTTCTGCATACAAATGAAAAACAAACTGAAATTTAAAAATCATGTAATTTACAATAGCACAAAAATTACCTAGGATTATAAATAATGAAGGATGTGTAAGATCTTTACACAGAAAATTAATACAGCATTACTGTGAATTATTGAAGATTATCTGAATACATAGAGGATGTACTGTGGTTATGGATTAGAAGATTCAGTTTTGTAAAGATGTTGATTCTTGCCCAATTGATCTATAGATTTAATGTAATGCCAATAAAATTTCAACAGGTTCGTGGAAGTTAATAGCGTAATTATAAAATTTATATGGAAATGCAAAGGGAAAAAATAGGTGAGTATTTAAGAACAACAATGGGAAAACTTGCTTGATCAGATACCAAGACTTAAAAACCACAGCAAGTAAGTACTGTGATATTGGTGCAGGAGAAAAATAAACCAGTGGAGCAGAATAGAGTCCAGAAACAGACCCATGCATAAGTACACTTGAAATTTGGCAAGGATTTTCTCTTATATTTTCTTCTAAAAGTTTTATAATTTTAACCTTCACATATTTTGATCCATTTAAAAATAATGTTTGTGTATTGTACCAGATATGGAACAAAATTCGTTGTTTTGCATATGAAGATAATCATTTGTTGAAAAGATGATCCTTTTGCTTTGATACCTTTGTTGAAAATCAATTGACCATATATGTGTGGGATTATATCTGGATTCTTTATTCTTTTTCATTCGTCTATGTTTTTCTTTTCTTAAATAATTTTTATTTTTCAATTACAGTTGACATACAGATCTGTGCTTTTCATTATACCTATTACACACTCAGGATTACTATAGCTTTATAACAAATATTAAAATCAAGTAGTGTTAGTTCTCTAATCTTGTTTTCAAAGTTATTTACTTTGCATTTCCATATAAATTTTAGAATCAGCTTTTCAGTTTTTACAAAGAAGCGTGCCAGAATTTTGTTTGGGATTGAATTGACATCTTGACAATGTGAGTCTCTTGATCCACGTGCATGGTCTATCTCTACACTGACTTTTTAAGTTCTCTCAGCAATGTTTTGTAGTTTTCAGTGTACAGGTCTCGCACATTTTGTGTCAGAATTCTTGCTAAGTATTTGATGTTTTTGATGTGAGTACAGTGATATTAAAATTTTTCAATTTCTGATTGTTGCTAGTATATAGAGATCCATTTGAATTTTATATATTAACCTTGTATCCTTAAACCTTCTCCATCAAGAAGCCTTCTCAATTGTGAAGCTCTCCGTAGCTCCTTTGACTTTTTCCTGCGCCTCCTGTCTAATATCACATACAGGTCTTTATCCTAGCACCTAGCCAGTTGGATTGGCGCCATTGGTTTATGTGTCTGCCTTCATCATCAGACTGAACTCTCTGAAGCCGGGAGGGGCCCTATTTGATTCTTCCTGTGTCCACAACTCTCGCCCCCCACCCCCTCACACACACAAGGTCTGGCATACAATAGGCATTGAGCGAATGTCTGAGGAAAGAATAGACAGATGGGCACAGATGGATGGGTGGGGAGGGAGAGTTGGGGAGGAAAAGAGGAATGAATAGAGAAGAGAAGATGAATAGATGGATGGATAGTGAATTGTGCTTTTATTTGTCACGGCAATTGCTTATACAGAAACCAAATCAGCCTATTTTTGTTTCTAAATCCACTGAACTTTCTGCATGACATAGTGGTCTGCATACTGAATTTTACCAGTAGGCCATGTTCTTCACTAATAACATCTATCAAGTGCTACTGCATGCCAGGCATTGGGCTAGGCTCCTTGCAGCCATTTTCTCATTAAACATTCCATACACCTCATCTCCCTCCTCTTTCTCCTGTGTTCATAAAGCTCTAGCCACTCTGACCTTTCTGTTGTTTCTCAAATACACTGCCTCTCAGGGCCTTTGCATTTGCATTCTCCTCTACTTGGAACACTGTTTCCTCAGATAACTGTCTGGCTTGTTCCCTTACCTCCTTTAGGCCTCTGCTCAAATGTCACTTCCTCAAGTAAAGCCTTTCCTTACCACCCGGTTTAAAACAGCAACCCCACCACTCTCCATCCCTCTTACCTTGCTTTCTCCATTTAACATAGCAGGCTCATTTTCTAAGGTCATGACATATTTCTTCCCATCCTCATTTTATTATCTGTACCATATTCTAGGAAAGTACCATGTTGGTTAATAGTAATAAGGTCACATTTATTGAGCACGTACTGTGTGCCAAGCAGATGGCTAAATACTTTACATAGATTAATTGACTTAATCCATACCCCACCCCTATGAGGTAGGTGCTATTTTGGCGGAAGGGGATTAGTTCTTTACCCACATCTCCCTGATGCTGGCACAGTGTTTTTTCCCTGTGGTCTTGTTGCTGTGGATAAGGGCCACTGCAGTGAGGCTGTGTGTGAGTCTGCCCAATTACCTGTGCTTTTCTTCTTTTCAGTTTTGTAGGCAACACTGACAAACTTCTGCACATCCAAATAGAAGACTCCCCGGAAGCCAACATTTTCCCATTCTTACGCCACCTCTGTCACTTCATTGGTAAGGAGCATTCTCTAACTAGGCAGCAACTGTCCTGTGCCCCGAGGCAGAGGGACCATGGCACCTCATCCACACGCTTATTCCTGGTTGTGACTCTCAGTATTAAGTAGAGAAGGGGCAGTGTGTGCCCGGCCAGCTCTGGACAAGCCCATCTCTCTGGGGCCCCAAGACAAGCCCACCTCTCTGGAGCCAAATAAGAGCTCTAGACTGTGGACTGACTGCCCTATGTTCTGGCCCCGGCTGGACCGCTAGGTGCTTTTGGGCCTGGCCTCATTGCACCTGTTGGCCTATTGTGACATGAGGCCACAGGTGCATGTGTTCATGGAGGCCTGCTCTGGGCTGTGCCCTGGTAGCCTGGAAGTGAATCTCATTCTGTCCTTGCTCTTTTGTCTAGTTAACAGGGTGGGGTGGAAGGAAGACTCCAGAGCCTCTGACTTCCCTGATTTTCAATGTGTGTCCAGTGCCCCTCTGTCTTTGAACCAAACAGCAGTGCCCACCAGTTGCTTACCTCATTGAAGGTAGATTTTTCAGTCACTCCCAGGGCTCAGGATTACCCAAGGAGAGCAAGATCCCTGGAGTCAGCAAGGCAGAGTCAGGTCAACTGGTAGCGGACCTTCCTGGTCTGGAAGCCTGGAGAGCCAAGTAAAGGCCTTAGCATGATAACGCTGAATGCTCAGGTGTGATCCTCTTGAACTGCCAACTAGATCTGAGGATCCCCATTTGCCAAATGATGAACCAGTGTCCTAGAGATGTCACATGACTTGCTTATGACATGGAGCGCTGGTTCGGAACCCACTCTTGGACCCACTGAGGCCAGTCATCTTACAGCAACTCGGGTCCACAGGGAAGGAGGCTATGCACAACTCCCCACCCTTCCTTCTTCTTGCAGAGGTCCACCTCAAGCTTGGCTCTGTTGTCCTGGTCTTTTCCACCCTGGGCATCAGTCGCAGCTGTGCAGCCATCTTGGCCTACCTCATGCACTGGCAAGAGCAGACCTTGAAGGTATGCATTCCCTGGTTCAGGTTCGGACCACAGCCTCTTCCAGGAGTTGGGGTCCGAGCTTCACTTGGGAGGAACAGGGCCCCAAGGCAGTGCCAGGGCCTGAGGGATGAGAGAGGGAAGGGCCAGGGAGGGGAGCTCCAAGTCCAGGGCTTTACCCAGCACACTATACCCAAGGGTAAGGTCTCAACAGTCCAGGCTAGAGGCCTGAGGCTAGGCAGCACCTTCTGTGTGTCCTCCACTGCCATCAGTCTGTTCACCAGCATTTGTTTATGGTTCTCCAGGGGAGGTGCATGTTGGCTGCTGCTTGGAGTCTTAGAATTGCAGTGCTGGCAGGGCTTAAGCAGACACCCACTCCTGCAATTCCTTTACCCTTGAGAAGAGCAAGGCCCAGAGAGAAGGAAGCAGGGACCCATCATAACAAACCCTGTGGAAACTCAGGGCTCTTGACTTCCAGGGCAGTGTTTTCCTACTGCCTACTGCACTGGATGGCAGGCCTATCCTGAGGAGAGAGGTTTGGGGAGCCTTGCCTGGCACAGCTTAGGCATGATTTCAGGTGCTTGGGTAGGACCTGAAAAGCTCCCACATTTGTCCAGGAGTGCACATGAAGGAAGAGGAGAGACCAAGAATGACCATTGGCGGAACCCATTGCCAGTGGTTTCAAATGTTGACCTAGTGTGCTCTTTGGGGTGAAATTGCAGGTCAGAAAGTCTTGGATATCCATCAATTCCATTTTTGGGTGTACACCCAAGAGAAGTAAAAGCAGGGTCTCAAAGAGATGTTTGTACACCCATGTTCATAGTAACATTATTCACAATAGCCAAGAAGTAGAAGTGACCCAAGTGTTCACTGATAGATGATTGGATAAAAAATACACGGTATAAACATACAATATAATATTATTAAGCCTTAAAAAGTAATGAAATTCTGACACATGCTACAACATGGATGAAGCTTGAGGACATTATGCTAAGTGAAATAAGCCAGTCACAGAAGGACAAATCCTATATGATTCCACTCATATGAAGTCCCTCGAGTAGTCATTCATAGAGACAGAGAGTCAGAGTCGAATGGTGGATGATGCCTGGGACTAGGAGGAAGGGGAATGAGGAGTTGTTTAATGAACACAGAGTTTCAGTTTGGGAAGAAGAAGAAGTTCTGGAGATAGATTGCTGCGTCCAGCAAGCGGGAAATCCTTCCACGTCCAGCACGGCTCTGGAAAATAATCCTGAGTGGGAATGGTGAGAGATTGAGAAAAGAAAGAAGACAGAAAGCTGGGATCAGGAGGCCCAATATCCACTGATGATGGAGTAGAGCACGATTTTATTTTTGCAAGTTGCTTTTATACAAGAGCATACATTTACTGACTAAAATAAGATTATCCCCGCCCAACCTACACATCCTACTGTAATCATTTGTATTTCCGTATATTATCCCCACCCTACACACCCTGTTATAATCGTTTGCATTTCCATAGATTATCTTCATTCTTAGGAGAGTTCTTAGAGGTGAGGCAACCCTTGGTTGACCTCACAGATTGCAAGGACCTTGTCAGCTTGCAACCCGCTCTCCACAATGGATAATGGTGATGTTTGCACAATATAGTGATTGTACTTAGGCCATTGAACTGTGCATCTAAAAATGGTTTAAATGGTAAATTTTATGTGGTGTGTATTTACCAGAATTAAAAAAAGAAAAGAGTCTGGGGTGAAAGGCCCAGAGAGTAGAATGGCGATTGCCTGCCCTCTTACTACACCCAAGGTGCATTGTCAGGGCCCTCACACTGGAGTCACTGCCTGCTTGAGTATTTTGGTATGTGCTGTGGAGGGGTGATGTCGCTGGTAAATCTTGGGAAGAAGGCCTGTGTCATTGCTCTTGTGGAGATGCCTTTCCAGTCTCCTTCCCAGAAATGGGCTTTGCTCTCAGAGAGGCCTCTTCTTTGCTGCCTTTTTGAGCTGGAACAAGAAGGCAGGGAGTTGGCAGAAGGCAGGCCAAGCTAACCCTTCTGCAGGGAGCTCAGAGAGTTCCAGGACTTGAGCTCCCTTGGAATTTGAATGGGGCCTGTCTATGAATGTCACCTAGTCCTGCTCTGCTGTGGTCCCTGGTGTCTTTATTGCTCACAGGGAGGCGGAGCACAAGAAGGTCTTTGGAGCCCTTCGAATCTGACACATCACTATGTGTCCTAGCCCTGACAAGCAAATCACAATCTTCTCTCTGGCTACATCAAGCAGGGGTCACAGCTGCTTCCAGGGCCAGCTGGAGTGAGAGCAGAGAGAGGAGCCTCTTAAGGGCCAGGTCCCCATGGCGATGGGGCACATGCAGGCCTGCATCTTGATCTTTACTAGCTCCTGCAGCGAGATGCACAGCTCCACCAATGAGGGTAAGGGACATCTGGGTGTGGTCATCCTGGTCAGTGGGTGGACAGGCACTTGGCCCCCTGAGGGCAATCCCAGTCTCAGGAGAACCTTGACAGTCCCTTCTTGGAGCAGCAGTCTTCGTCTCATCTGCAAAGTCCTGTTGTTGGGCACTCTGCGCAGAGGTGCCATCTGGGTAACTCTTGTCTAAAAAAGCTGCACAGCTCCTGGAGCTGTAGGCAGGAAGCACTGCTGCTATGACCTTGCTGTATCTTCTCCAGACTGAGTGACTCCTACGATGTGCAAGTGAGCTTTTTCTGCTACCAAGCAAGAATCCTGGATCACTGACACAGGTTGACCTGGGCTCGGCTCTGCTTCTGCCTGGGGTCCGTAGAGACATGTTTGCCTCCCATTGTTTGTGTGGTCCTGGAGGTCTTCCTTGGTGCACTGTGGAAGCTGTCCCCTGGGTGTTGTCAGCTCAGCTGTGATAGAGCCCACAGGCCTAGAAAGAAGAGTGTGGACCACTCTTGGGCAACATATTGTATCCTTATGGTTCCAGCTCAGCAACTTCAGGTACCAAGAGGGAGGTCAAGTGGTGAGCTTGGAAGAATCTGGCACCCAGAGTCACCTCTGCCTGTCCTGGGCTTTGAAAGCACTAGCACAAGGTTATGTGGGATCCCAGAGTCAGCAAACCCTTAACAAATCGATTTCAGTGCCTTTAAACTGCTGGGAGTAGCTTTGTCCCTTAAAGGTCTTCAGAGAAAAACAAAAACCAGCTCCTGAGGCACTAATAGCTAACATTGGCAGAGTGCTTCCCACATGCCAGGCTGTCTTAAACACTTTATGTGTAATGAAAATACAATGACCCTATTATCCCCATTTTATAGGAGGTATATAGTGGCTGACTAACTTGTCTGAGGCCCCAGCTCTAAGTGGCAGATCTGAAATTCAAAGCCAGATGGCTCAGCTCAAGAATCTGGGCTTTTAACAAGGCCCTTAGGTGGCAGGGAGAGCACTGGCCTTGCAGTCGGAAAAATGGGGCTATGGCTGGGTGCTGCTCCCTACCTAGAATGACTGGCATGTCCCTTCACCTTTCTAACCCCTAGGTAGGCAGAATAAGGCCTGTCCTTCCTGCCTGCTGCATTTGTTGTGAGTCCCACCAGATGCTTTGTGGGCTGGAGATGGGGTATGTGAGTAAGTATGTGGGGCTCTGGTTATGGTTGGTCCTCAAGAGCCTGTTCTGACCTAGCCAGCACTTAGTAAACCTTATAACTGCACAGCTCTGCCCCTGGCATCACATGTTTTACTTTTTTAAAAATTGTGGCAGAACACACACAAAATTTACCATCTTAATCATTTTTAATGTACAGTTCAGTAATGTTAAGTACATTCATGTGGTCATGCAACCAATCTCCAGAACATTTTTCATCTTATAAAACTGAAACTCTATGCCTATTAATAACTCCCCATTCTCCTTTTCCCCTAGCCCCTGGCACCCACCATTCCACTTTGCTTCTCTGATTTTACTATTCCAGGTACCTCACATAAATGGAATCATAAAGTATTTGTCCTTTTGTAATTGCTTTATTTCACTTAGCGTAATGTCCTCAGGGTTCATACCATGTTGCAGTATGTGTCAGAATTTTCTTCTTTTTAAAGACTGAATAATATTCCATGTTATGTAGAATTCACCAGTGAACCTGTCTGGGCCTGGTGCTTTCTGTGTTGGAAGATTATTTTTTTTTATTGATTTAATTTCTTTGATATAGGCCTATTCAGATTGTGTGATTTTGTGTGAGTTTTGGCAGATCATGTCTCTCCATTTCATCTAGACTAGATGTGGGCATAGAGTTGTTTCTTCCTTTATAAATTCTTTCGATGCCCATGGGATTTGTATTGATTTCTCCTCTTCATTTCTGATGTTAGCAATTTGTATCTTCTCTCTTCTTTTCTCAGTTAGCCTGGCTAGAGGATTATGGATTTTATTGATCTTTTCAAAGAACCAACTTTTGGTTTCATTAATTTTCTCTATTGATTTCATGTTTTCGATTTCATTGATTTTGCTCCAATTTTTATTGTTTTGTTTTGTTTTTTTCTGCTTACTTTGGATTTAATTTACTCTTATATTTTCATTTTTTTCTGCTTACTTTGGATTTAATTTACTCTTATATTTTCATTTCAAGCTTAGATGACTGACTTAGGTGAACATTCGGCTTGGTGAATGTTTCATGTGAGGTTGAGAAGAATGTATATTCTGCTATTGTCGTACAAAGTAGTTTATAGATGTCAATTGATGGTGTTGTGTTCAACTACGTCCTTACTTATTTTCTGCCTGCTGGATCTGTCCATTACTGATAGTGGGGTGATGAAGTCTCCAGCTGTAATGGTAGACTCATCTATTTCTTCTTGCAGTTCTATCGGTTTTTGCCTCAAGTATATTGATGCTCTGTTAGGTGCATATCATTGCAAGTATAAGCTACATTTTGTTTATCCATTCATCTGCTGATAGACACTTGGGTTACTTTCACCTTTTTTCTATTGTGAACAATACAGTTCCACTATGTACATTGACCTTTGAACAACACGATTTGAACCCCACACATAAGTGGACCCAAGCAGTTCAAACCTGTGTTGTTCAAGGGTCAACTGTATTTTCGATCTGCGGTTGGGAATTCATGTACGTGGAAGGATGACTTAAGTTACATGTGAATTTTTGACTACATGGTGTGTTGGGTTACTTTCTCCTTTTGGCTATTGTGAATAATGCTGCTATGAACATGGGTATGCAAATATCTCTTTGAGATCCTACTGTCAATTCTGTTGGGTATATACCCAGAAATAGAATTGCTGGGTCATATGCTAGTTCTATTTCTAATTTTTTGAGAAATCTCCATACTGTTTTCCACAGTGGCTGTACCATCTTACATCCCACCAACAATACAAGGGTTCTGATTTCTCCACATCCTTGCCAACACTTGTCGTTTTCTGTTTTTTTCAATAGTAGCCATTTTAATAGGTGTGAGGTGGTTTCTCACTGTAGTTTTGATTTGCATTTCCCTAATGATTAGTGATATCAATCATCTTTTCATGTGCTTATTGGCCATTTGTATATCTTCTTTGAAGAAATGCATATTTAAGTCCTTTGCCCATTTTTTTGTTAGGTTGTTGCTGAGCTTTAGGAGTTCCTTATATTCTTCATATTAACACTAGGAGATATATCTGGATATAAAGCAGATATATGATTTGCAAATGTTTTCTTCCATTCTATGGATTGCCTTTTTACTCTGTTGATTGTGTCTTTTGATGCACATAAGTTTTTAATTTTGATTTAGTCCAACTTATCTATTTTTTCATTTATCACCTGGACTTTCGGTGTCATACCCAAGAAATAATTGCCAAATTCATGTCATGAAGCTTTTCCTATATGTTTTCTCCTAAGGGTTTTATAGTTTTAGTTCTTACATTTAGATCTTTAGTTATTTTGAGTTAATTTTTACACATGGTATAAGGTAAGGGTCCAATTTCATTATTTTGCATGTGGCTATCCAGTATTCCCAACACTATTTTTGAAAAGGCTCTCCTTTCTCCATTAAATGGTTTTGGCACCCTCGTTGCAATCATTTGACCATATATATGAGAGTTTATTTCTGGGCCGTCTATTCTATTATATTGGTCTAAGTATCTGTCTTTATGCCAGGACCACAATATTTTGATTATTATAGTTTTGTAATAACTTTTAAGGTTTGAAATCAGGAAGTGTGAGGCCTCCAGCTTTGTCTTTTTTCAAGATTGTTTTGGCTCTTTGGGGTCCCTTGAGATCCCATATGAATTATAGGATGTATTTATCTGTTTCTGCAAAAAACATTGTTGGGATTTTGATAGAGATTGCATTAAATGTATAGATCGTTTCAAGTAGTATTGACATCTTAACAATATTAAATCTTCCAATCCATGTAAATGGGGTGTCTTTTCATTTATTTATGTCTTTTTTAATTTCTTTTAGCAAGATTTTATAGTTTTGTGGGTACAAGTTTTTTACCCCCTTGTTTGAATTTATTCCTAAATATTCTATTCTTTTTGATGCTTTTGTAAGTGGAATTGTTTTCTTAATTTCCTTTTCAGATTGTTTATTGTTAGTGTATAGATATCTAACTGATTTTGAGTGTTGATTTTGTATCCTGTAACTTTGCTAAATTCATTTATTAGTTCTAACAGTATTTTTGGTGTAATCTACATATAAGAACATGGTGTCTGCAAAAAAAAAAAAAAAAAAAAAAAAAAAAAAAAAAAAAAGATAATTTTACTTCTTCCTTTCCAATTTGGATGCCTTTTCTTCCTTTTTTTTCCTACTTGCTGTGGCTAGGACTTCCAGTACCATGTTGAAGAGAAGCAGTGAAAGTAGGCATCTTTGGCTTGTTTCTGATCAAAGAAAGAAAAAGCTTTGTCTTTCACTATTGAGTATGATGTTACCTGTGAGCTTTTCATATATTACCTTTATTATGTTGAGGTAGCTTCCTTCTATTCCTAGTTTATCGAGGCACTACTTTTGCCTTTTCCTTTTTCCTCTGTCCTCAATTCAGATGAGACCAGCATGTCACCTTCTTTCATGTAATAACCCTTCCTGCATTTTAGGGTGGATACCTGAAAGAAGACAGCTTTGATTTTTCTTCTTCAGAGAATTTGCCCACAGTTCTCTTCCCTTTTCTGTTCATTTATCCACTCACAATGCGAACCTTTGTTGAGGCTGCACCATGTGCCAAGCATGGGCATGGAGCTTTCCTGCCCATGGAAGGTTTCATATATGTTGTCTCAACTTCCATAGGAGCCATCTGAAATAAGAATGGTTGCCGTCTCCATATTCAGAAGCAGAGGTGCAGAAGAGCTTGCCCAAGGCAGAGCCAACTCCTATGACTCCTTTGCCCTAATATATTAACCCCTGCTGTTCCTGTGTCCAGCCCTTAAGCCATGTTGCTGGTCCCTAGGCAAATGCCTCCTGTTCCTCCTGAGCTGGCTCTGATCTAAGTGGAAAGGGCCCAGGTCCAACTCTGAAGTCTGTTTTCTCTCTTTGTGTTCACAGAGGTCCTGGGCCTATGTCAAGAAGTGTAAAACCAACATGCGTCCAAATCGGGGTTTGGTGGCTCAGCTGTCAGAGTGGGAGAAGATTGTACTTGGAGACACTGTCACAGACATCGCGGATCCACTCTACTGATCTCAGTGGCACAGCTATGGGTCCTGAAGCAACTTGCTTGGGAACTTGTGGGTAGTGAGTCAGGGTGTGTCACCAGGTTTGTGTGGAAGAAGGCCTTTACTATCTAGAGCCTCTTGTCAGTCTCCTGCATTTGTTCTTCCCGGGCTCCTTGTTCATGCCACACAGCGGGTGCACTCTGCTCAGACTTAGTAAGCACCCTCATTTCTACGGCATCCTGGACCACCCCCACTGCACTCCTGAGGTTGCCTCTGGAAGAACATCTAGCTGACACAGCAGCCGTCCCACTTGACTTGTACTCTTTGAAGGCTGCCTGAAGACAGCTTCAGGGGTCCCCACTGCCTGTGTTGGTCCACAGGGTGGGTATCACAATGCCTACCTACCCATGGTCATAGCTCCCCCAGCCCTAGAGATGCCAGGCCCAGGACCCAGGCTCCACAGCTCTGAGAGGCTCCTGGCACAAGGGCAAACCTTTGCCTCATTCCCAGTCCCTGCATTACCCACTACTCCACCAGTTCATCACTTGTACAGATTTCTTTTCCGTGCTCCTACTCATTTCTGCCTAGCTGTGTTCAACAAAAGATTCCTACACCCGGGTATCTAGAAATTTCTCAGGTCTTAAAGAGTTTATTTCAGAATGTGCTTCAGAGTTCTGGTAGGCCCACAGAACAAGCCCGGAGTCATGAGAGGGCACAGACAAGGGGATTGATGGGGGAATTTAGGGTGTCCCTGTGTTCATTCAGCAAATATCCCCTGCCATCTGGGCAGGGCTGGAGATATAGAGATGAATACCATCGGACCTCCTAGGATTCTTTGCAGAATCTCCCCTACTCCAAATGGAAACCCAAGCCTTCCAGGAATGGGGTTTTGCCAGAGGGGTTAAGAGTTTTTCAGACAACACAGGCTTTAGTCAGGATCTGAGCTGGAACAGAACCTGGGACAGCTGCAGAGAGATGGCTCTGTGAGTTTAGGACCTCCTGGTAGGCATGGTAGAGCTATTCGAAAGTTTTCGGCAGGGACATGGTAGGAATTTGCCGTGTGTTTTAGGAAGGGCAGTCTGGTAGCTGTGTGAAGGGACAGTAGCAGTGAGCCTGGAAGCAGAGTAGTAAGGACGCTGCTGTAAAAATCCAAGCAGGAGGAGGTTCGGTAACCCCTTCCCGCAGAGGCGCAGCTTCCCAAAGATGAAAGTCTTTGAGGCAGATGTCACCTCCCTGGACCTTGGTTTACTTCCAGCATGACGGGCTGGGACACTGCTGGCTGCACCACGCAGTTGGCACGACCCGTGGAGCCCAGCCAGGAGCCACCGTCGCCACCAACCCAGCCCTAGTCCAGGCCGGTGGTAGTCGCTGGGCAAGCTGCTCTGAGTGTACTTGGCCCCGCCCAGGCCCTGCCCCCGGCCCGGATTGGCTCTGGTAGGGGCGGGGCCAGCGCGTTCACGGCTCCAGGCCCTTTACTCATTGGAGGTCGCGGCGGCGCGAGCCCGGAAGCGGACGGGGGCGGAGGCGGCGGAGGCGGAGGCGGCGGCGGCGGAGCCTGAGGCGGCTGAGGCGCCCTGGACTCACCGGGTTTGCACCGGTCTCCTCGAACCTCGGCTCGTCTGGCTCCTGCCCGGCAGCCATGCATCCCACGCCCCCGGGCCCGTTGGGAGACTGCCTGCGGGACTGGGAGGAGCTGCAGCAGGACTTCCAGAGCATCCAGGTGAGCGCCAGTAGGGGCGCCCATTGACCCCGAGCCACTTCTTTTTGGCTCGGGGTCAAGGGTCGGACAGCACTGTGCCAGGCAGCAGGGAGCTCAGGGTCAGGGGTCGGGGACCCTGGCATCGCTCCCGAGGGCGGCCAGGCCGTGGGTCCCAGTGTCCCACCTGGACCCTCCTCTCGGCGTCACATCAGTGTCCGATAGAGGCACCCTTCGCCCGCGCAGCCGCGACCCCGGTGGGGACCTCGGGCCCCCTGCTAGGGCTTTGGAGAGAGACCCCGACCTCGATCCAGCCTTCTTCCAGGAGAGTGGCCGTTTGAATCCAAACCGCCCGGGCCCAGTCTTGGGTCAGTCACTCAGCAAACATGCCCAGTGCGCCGGTCCTGCGGGAGCCGCGAACTGCGCTGTCCAGCCGTCTGGGCTGAGTGCCGTGGGGCAGCACCCCGAGAGGCAGCCGTACCTTGGGCGCCGCTGGGAAGTGTTGTTCCGGCCTGTATGGGGGCGGGGCCGATCCAGGATGAAGGACAGCTCCCACGGAGACCGGCCCAGGTGGCTACTGCAAAGAGTGAGGGAAGAAGCGGGTGGGCCATTCTCTGCAAAGACTCGAAGGTCCTGGCCGGGACTGGAGCCTCTTTGAGATCAGTGGAAAGCAACGGGAGGAACTGCCTGGGTCTGGCTTACAGGGGCCATGGTGGTGTTCCGTGGAGAGGCCAGGGAGGAAGAGGCTGCTGGCCTCCTCTGGACAGGAGAGGTGGTAAACGCTAGGTTCTGAGGGGGCGTGGTAGCCCGTCCCGGGCATAAGAAACAAGACCCAGACAGAGTAGGGTTCAGGCCATCTTGATCAGACCCTCGCCTCTTCTGGACTGGTTCCAGCCCCTTCCTGTCTGCATCGAAGCCTAGCTGCCCCCGCTGTTATTAGTGCTTCTCCCCAGAGACCTAAGCAGAGCATACCTAGAATCCCAGCCTGACCACCACTGTCCTGGCCTCAACCCCTGTCTGACCTTCCTCACATTGCCCCTTGCCTGATCTTCAGGCTGCTGCTTCTTTAACTCACCCACCAGGGCAAAGTGCTCTGGGAAGCCTTGGGCCAACAGTGCTGGGGGAGGGGTATGGGACTAGTCTTATAGCAGGAGGTCCAGGGGCTGAAGCCTGATGACTTTTAACCTGGAAGGAAGACACTAGGAGTGCCAGAACAGAAGTCATCTTAAACTACCCCACCTCCCCCTGCACTTGCAGGCTAGAGGGAGGAAGATCTGAGAGGGCCAGGGGCGGCTTCAGGCAGCCTGCTTGGTCCAGAAGGTGGACCTGTGGGCCCAGAATCCAGACTCAGAGTGGGACAGAAAGGGGTGGGAACAACTAGTAGATGAGATGATATTAAAAAAACCTAGCCTCTTTCTGGAAGAGGGATGCTGTGGGGGCTTTTGGGCTTGCAGGAAAAACCTTATCTCTTTATCTGCCTTGGAGAGAGAGCAACCTTAGGGAGGTCCCTGGGCTGGCACAGCCAGCTGCCTTTTTTCTGTGAGACCCTCCCAAGAGCCTTGGGGAGTCTGTGCCCTGCCTTCTGCCCAGTGGACTGTGGCTCAATGGCCCCCAACCAGCCTGACCCTTCTCCTCTGCCTGGTCCACAGGAGACCCACCGGCTGTACCGCTTGAAGCTGGAGGAGCTGACCAAGCTGCAGAACAATTGTACAAGCTCCATCACTCGGCAGAAGAAGCAGCTCCAGGAGATGGCCCTCGTCCTAAAAAAGTTAGGACCACCCCTCAAGCCCTCCCCCACCCCCCTCAGCCTCAGTCTGGGGGTGGATGTCTGATCTGGTGGGGCGGAGGGCTGGTGCTCACTCCCTGGCAAGGCTACTCCCCTTTCTGGGCCACGTTAGGTCTCCTGCCCCACAGTGTCAGTGTGATACCTGGGGCCTCCTGCTCTTACTCTGGCTTCTATGGTCCCTCCTGCAGATGCAAACCCTCCCTCCCAGTGGAGGCCAAGGAGGCTGCTCAGGAGCTGGAGAACCAGATCAAGGAGCGCCAAGGCCTCTTTTTTGATATGGAAGCCTATTTGCCCAAGAAGAATGGGTGAGACTGCTCCCCCAAATTCAGTTCACAGTCACTCCTGGGAGAGAGGCCTGAAGTGCAATCTTCCTCTGCTTGATCATTTGGTCAGCAGATGTTCTCTGGGCCCACTCTGGGCTGAGTAGTCAGCCACAGTCCTACCTCAGGGGAGATAGCTGAGTGACAGTGACAGCTTACCAGGATGGGTGATTTGTGGTGGAAGTACAGGGAATGGGAGCGCTCAGGAGGTCAGAGAGAGCCTCCTGGTATAGGTGAGGCCTGAGCTGAGTCATGAAGGATAAAGGATTGAGCTTTACTCATGAAGGCAGTAACAGCAGGTGTGGAGGGAGGTGAGCGGTTATGATGAGACCATAAGAAGAACCAGGCTGCAGTTCTTGCCTCAGGCCCAGCAGGCAGGGCCTACTTGTACTTGAGGGGTCAAGTACAAACTTCTACTACCACCCTTCTAACACTGAAGCAGGTAGGCGGGGAAAGTGCAGAACCCTAGGCTGAGTGAAAAAAATCCAGCAGAGATGGCAGACAGCCAGACAGCTGGGAGAGAGGCAAGAGAAAGAGTGGCCAGTAGCCTCAGATCAGATGGTTAGGGGGTCGGTCAAATATGGTAATGAAGGGGAAATGCTTCCTGGAAGTCAGGGTGACCTTGGAGAGAACCACTTGACAGAAGCGTGTGGGTGGAAGTTGATATTGGGGATGACAAAAGAGCTGAAGAGACGGCCAAGTTTAGGCCATACTTCAGAAGCTTGGCTGTGAGTAGAAGGAGAGATTAGTACCTAGAACGTAGTGTGATGGTTGAGGGGCAGCTTTTGCTTGGTTGTATGTATAACTTTGTACATAAGACAGACTTGAGCATATCTACCTGCCTAAAGGTGGGGCCTGCAGAGGGGAGAGAATCAGAAAAGTGGCACTAAGATATGGAGGGAAACCCCTGGGGATATGGGAAGGGCTGAGCATGGGCTCCTGTAATTTGGGATGGGGGCGGTGCAGAGACATGGGTGATCAGGCAGTCAGGGGAGATGTCAGCTGCCAGCAGGGAGACAGGAGGGAGGATTTGGGAGAGAGGGTCGTTGAGGCCATTGCTGGGACGGGATACGGAGCTGGTGATGGTGCTGAGAGGCAGCCTGGCAGCCTGGTCCAAGTTCTCACTGTGCCCCTGAATCTCTTCGCAGCCTTGGGAAAGTCCCTTTAACCACTGTGACCCCATCAGTATGGCTTGAGTGTGAACAAGAGCCCATGTAAGGGTGCAGCTGCTTAGTGCACTACTGTGGCTCTCTGATCACCTCTTGAAGTTTCTCTGGCAGAGAAGGATGAGATGAGCTTAGCTGGTGGGTGTGTGGCAAAGCCAGGAGGTGGGAGTTATGAGTTTGCAAGAAAGTGATTAACATGTGAAGGAGGGTTTGGGGATTTAGCTGTCTTGGGAAAGAGGAGCAGGATCAGCAGGGCCTGGGAGCTGGGGGAGATTCAGAAAGGGGGAGGATCCATGTGGCTGGGAGGCTGGGCACTCAGGGGTCAGAATATAACCAGCATTGTGAAGAGGCCATTCTGGGTTGGGAGGAGATCCTGGTGTGGTCGTGTACATGGGTTGCTGCAGTGGAGTTGGGACTGCGGGTTCTCGAAAGCAGTAGAAACTATAGGGTAGATGATAGATGGTGATTATGCATACAGGCGTTGAGAACACTGCCCAGGCCCACAGGGGTGATCTGAGATGGGGCTTCCATGGGGTGGGAAAGCCAGACTACCTTTAAGGCCCTTAGACAGGGGAATGTGGGTGATGCTGAGAGAGGGAAGGGATATTGGTTTACGTTGGAGCAGGATTTGGGAGTAGGCAGGCAGAAAGGCTGGGCATCAGTGTTTCCCGTAGCAGCAGCCAAAAGTCAGAGCCCTAAGCCAAGGCCGTGGAAAGGCCTGGTGGGGGTGGTGACTCAGGCACTGGGCAGGCCTTTCGGGAACTCTGTGCCCTTTACCTTTTGGCTTCTCTTTCAGTTGGGGCCTCTCCTCACCCGGTCTCCCTCTCCTTTAGGTTGTACCTGAGCCTGGTTCTGGGCAACGTCAATGTGACACTCCTGAGCAAGCAGGCTAAGTAATTGGTTGTCACAGACTGGGTCTCAGTTCTGCTCTCCACCCTCCTGGGGCCTTTCCACTCTGCCCCAGCTGTCCTGGCTGAGACTTGGGGTTCAGGGGCCACTGCCCCATGCTGGCCCCATGCCATGCCTGGAAGTGTGTTCAGAGCAGGCACCTCCCTCCTTGGGCGGAGGCGAGGGTGGGTCCCGCCAGCATCCCAGCCTGTCCCATGGGTGTGTGCCCATCCCAGGTTTGCCTACAAAGACGAGTATGAGAAGTTCAAGCTCTACCTCACCATCATCCTCATCCTCATCTCCTTCACCTGCCGCTTCCTCCTCAACTCCAGGTGGGTATCCTGCTGCTTGAGGACCAGACCCTATGCCCTCTCCAGGCTCCAGCACCAACACCATGTCCCCTTCTGCAGGGTGACAGATGCTGCCTTCAACTTCCTGCTGGTCTGGTATTACTGCACCCTGACCATCCGAGAGAGCATCCTCATCAACAATGGCTCCCGGTGGGCAAGGGTGGGGGCCCCACCCCAGCTCCTGAGGGGCCGGGGAGGGGTGTGGAGGGGCTATCCTAGGAAGTGGGAGTGTGCTATAGCTGTCTGAGAAGCAGGAACTGGGCTGGGTGCTGGTTTCTTCCTACCTCAGCCCACTCCCTGTCCCCAAGCACCAATCCTGGGGGATAAGAGTGACAGCAGCTTCCTGATACAGGATCAAAGGCTGGTGGGTTTTCCATCACTACGTGTCTACGTTCCTGTCGGGAGTCATGCTGACATGGTGAGTATCCCAGCTTGGCTCGGTGGGGGAGAGCTGGGGCAGGGAGAGTTGATGTCCCCTCACCCCTTACCCCTTCCTCTGCTTTCTGCCTTAGGCCCGATGGCCTCATGTACCAGAAGTTCCGGAACCAATTCCTGTCCTTCTCCATGTACCAGAGTGAGTGTCTTAGAGGTCCTTGCTCAGCTCAGGACTTGTCCATAGGGAGGGGCGGGGAAAGGACTTGGGGCTCCAGCTCAGTCCTAACACCCCTCCCCCCAGGCTTTGTGCAGTTCCTCCAGTATTACTACCAGAGTGGCTGTCTGTACCGGCTACGGGCCCTGGGCGAGAGGCACACCATGGACCTCACTGTGGGTGAGTGGGACGTGGCACCCCACTGTGGATCTCGATGGGGCTGCTGTGAAGGGAAGTCCTTTCCTCTAGAGCTGTGTCTGAATGGTGTCTCCTTTTGTCCCTGGTTATTCTGTGCCCTCCTGCTTTTCCCCCGCAGAGGGCTTCCAGTCCTGGATGTGGCGCGGCCTCACCTTCCTGCTGCCTTTTCTTTTCTTTGGACATGTAAGTTGTATCTGTGTCCCTGTCCATCCAGCTGTCCAGCCCCTGCTCTGGCTTGAGCAGGGACTGTGTTTTACTATGTGAAACCCCCTCCTCCCTCTCAGTTCTGGCAGCTTTTTAACGCACTGACATTGTTCAGCCTGGCCCGGGACCCCAAGTGCAAGGAGTGGCAGGTGAGCCGGAGCCCCTGGAAAAGATACTGGGTGGGCCAGACTCCGGCCTCTGTCCTAACCCTGATTCTTCCTTCAGGTGATCATGTGCGGCTTCCCCTTCCTCCTCCTCTTCCTTGGCAATTTCTTCACCACCCTGCGGGTCGTGCACCAGAAATTCCATAGTCAGCGGCATGGGAACAAGAAAGACTGAGACTGGACTTTCCCCTGCCCACCGTCTTGGAAGGGGCTTCTGTACCTCATGTGTTGTTTGAGGGGGAGGGTGCTCCCCTTGTCCAGGAGGGGCTCTTCTGCTCTCCCTTAGTTTTATGGACTCTGTGGGCCCCGAAGGCTATGTTGGAGAAGCCTGGTGTCCCAGCCTGCAGGGATCTGGGGGCCAGAAGCCTCAATAAAGGAAGGGAGGCACAGAGGTGGCTCCAGGTGTGTGTCGTCCTGAGGGTAAGGCAGGGGCTTGGTGACTCTCTGTGCTGCCATGGCATGGGTTTGTGGGGCTCCAGAGTTGTTGGTCTCTCTGGGGTCTGAGTAAAGTAGACCCAGGTGGAGGCCTCAGATCTATTCAAGGAATATCAAACAAATACAGAAAACAGAACTTTATTCCAAGGACCAGAGATTATTTAAAATTATTTACACTCATTGAAAATCATGTGGAGGGGCCAGCTGAGAGAAAAGCCCCTTCTGTACAGCCACCGGGGGCCTGAGATGTTCACAAAGTGTGGGCCCGGTCACCCTTGGCCATGTTGCCCTGCGACCAGGGGGCTCTGGAGGGCACATCTCGGACCCAGAGCAGTCTTTGTCACTGAGCCTGCCTCCTGTGACAAGGCCTAGCAGAACCTACCCAGGAGACTGGCAGAAGAGGGAGGAACATGATTACAAGGGGAAGCAAGTCTGTAGGGTGTGAGGGCAGGACTGGGCAGCTCCTAGCTCCACACGTCCAGAGAGTAGCGGCCCTTAGTCATCAGCTTCTTGATGTAGTCCACAGCCTGGGCATGCTCCATGGACCCCAGCTCAGCCACGATGTCGTAGAACGTGTTCTGCACATCTCTCGCCATGTTCCGTGCATCCCTGCGGGGAGGAAAGAGGTGGCACTGGGAGCGGAGCAAAGGGCCCCAGCATGGGCAGGCAGGGCCTCACCCCTCCCACTCCTCTGCCCTCACTTACCCACAGACATAGATGTGGGCACCCCCCTCATGGATCAGCTTCCACAGGTGCTCCTTGTCCCTCTTTAGTAAGTGCTGGACGTAGACCTGAGGCCAGAGAGTGGTGCCCGTGAGGAGGCCAATCTGGCAGCCCTCCACCCCGCCACAGCAGCCTGGCCTGGCCTCACCTTTTGGGGCTGCTCCCGGGAGAAGGCCACGTTGAGCTGGGTGAGGGAGCCTTCCTTGTGGAACTGGGCCAGCTCCTCGCGGTACAGGTAGTCCTCGTCAGAGCGGCGGCAGCCGTAGTAGAGCAGCGTTTCCCCCACCTCCTTGCCTGCGGGGGGGATCAGCCGGGGTGAGTGTGGAACCCCCCATCCCATCCCTGCCCCTCGCTTGGGCCCGTGAACTTACCCTGATGCTGCAGCCAGGCTCGCTCCTGGATGAAGCCTATGAAGGGGGCAACCCCGGTGCCAGGCCCCACCATGATGACAGGTGTGGTGGGCTTGAAGGGCAGGCGGAACTGGGACTTTCGAACAAACATGGGCACCAGAGCCCGTCGGCCATTCTCCTTGGTGGGCTCCTTGGCCCGCAGCCAGCTGGTGGCCACGCCCTTGTTGATGCGGCCAGACTTGGTTTCATATTCCACAGCTACGGCACAGATGTGCACGGAGTTGGGGTGGACCTGGGGGGGTTGGCGGAGGCAGGAGTGAGCTCAGCAGCCGTGCCCTAGCTAGTCCCCTTCACTACCTGAACCG